TGGAGGGAGGGAGTTTAAACCTTCACCATTAAGTATGCTAGGATGTTCACGTGCATGTGTGCACATGCTACCCATTATGGGATCAAGAAAGTTCTTTTATGTTCCTAGTTTGCTAAGAGGCTGTAGAAAAATATACAATGAATGGAATTTGAACTTTATCATTTTTTTCTGCATATATGTCATTTTTCTTCTTTAGTATGTTTATATGGTAAAATACATTTCTCTAATTGTATTTTCTAATTTGGGACCAATCTTGCATTCCTGGGATAGACTTTGCTTAGTTATTTATTATCATTTTTATGTTTTTGCATTTGATTTGCTAATACTTTGTTGAGAATTTTTGCATTTCTGTTTGTGAAGTATATCGGGCCATAGTTTTCTTGTGCTGTGTTTCTGTAGTTGTAGTATCAGGGTAATGCTACCCTCCTAAAATGAGATGGGAAGTGTTATCTCCTTTTTTCTTGAAGGCTTGCAATTTTTGTATTTATAGATTTTTACTCTTTTTTTCCTAAATCTTTGGTAGAATTAACCAGGGAAACCATCACAGCCTGGACTTTTTTATTTTTGGAAGCTTTATACTTAAAATTCATTTTTTAAAACAGATATAGAAACATTTAGGTTAACTTTTTTCTTGAGTGAGTTTGGCAGTTTGTCTCTTTCAAGAATTGGTTCAGTTCATCTAACCTGTGGAATCTATAAGCAGTGATTGTAGGATTCTCTTCTTCTACATTTAATGCCTGTACGCTCTATAGTTTTCTATTTTCTTGATAAATCTAAGTAGAGATTTATCAATTTTATTGATCATTTCAATGAACAAGCTTTTTGTTCTCTTTTGTTTCCTTTACTTTTTATCAATTTTATTGATTTATTCTATTTATCCTTTCCTTTTTTGCTTGATTTGGGTTTAACTAGCTGTGTTGCCTACTGTTTTAAGATTGAAACTTAGATTATTGATTTGAGTTTTTTCTGCTTTTTCAATATAAACATTTAATACTATAAACTTCCTTCTAAGCACTGCTGAGAAGGACGTAGCTGTAGCTGCATCCCAAAAATTTTGACATGTTGTATCTTCATTTTCAATCAGTTCAAAATAATTTCCAATTTCATTTGAAACTTCCCCTTTGACCCTTGGGTTATTTAGAAGTGTGCCATTTAACTTCCAAGTATTTGGGGATTTTCCAGAATTTTTGTTATTGATTCCTAATTTAATACCTATTTGATTAGAGAATATACTTTGTATGATTTCAATTATTTTTAATTTTTAGGATTTGTGTTATAGTCCAGGATATTATCTGCATTCATGAATATCCATTTTCAATTAAAAAAAATGTCTGGAGTCTGCTTTAAGTGTCAGTTAGATCAGGTTGGTTGATAGGGTTAGTCAAGTGTTCTAGAATCAATGGGAAAGATAGGTTGTAGTGAGATTACACTTGGCCAGCAGTAGAAGTTTAAATTGGATTTTGAACTCAGATTTTTCTGGCTCTACAGTTGATATTCTTTCCCTTACGCCACAACGAAACATGAAAAGCTCCTAAAAGGTCTAAAATCTGCTAGGTATTATGTAGCAAACATAATTCTTGATCCTAAATTTACTTTTATGCTGCAAGAAAATTCTATTTTTTGCTTAAAGAGGAAAAGTCAAAACATACTTAGGAAATGTACAAGTTTTCTTGTTCTTTACAAACAGACATTAAATATTTTGTTTCATTTCTCATTGGAAACAGACTTTAAATTTGTTTTCTAGTATGCTCAATTTTCAAAGGCATGTCCTTCTATCTCTTTTAAAAGTTAATAACTTTGGAGTCAAAGGGCTACTTCTCTTTTACTATAGAGGGAAAGACTGAGGCATAATGAGGAAAGAAATATCTTAAACCACCGCATTAGGTATCAAATTTGAGCTTTTCTTCACTTTTCACTCACACTCCTCCCTGCTTCCTTCTATTCCATGTAAGTTAGAGGGGTAGATTAGAGAAGTATTTTCTAGTCTTAAGAAAAAGAAAAAAAAACAACACCCACATTCTCTGTTCACAAATATAAGTATCCCACACTCTCCTTCTGTTACATTTAAATTTTACAAATAAATGAAACATTTTTTACTTAAAAGTTTTAAATAGTCATTTTAATTTTTTTCAAATTTCTCATGTCCCTCTCTCCTGAATTTCATACATACTCCCTAAGGATGACATCCCATGTTGGAAGGGCAAATAATTTCTCCTCCCAGATTCAGATTCATCTAGAGCTGCCCATCTGGGGATCCTTTGGCAGTCTTCTTGTTCTCCTCAAAGTCTTTTTCACCTTGTCACACTGTGGCTTATATGTATGCTCCGAAATGGATCCATCATCATAGATAACCTTATCCTTTCCCCTGTAAACCCATGCCTTCCATAAGGCAGCAGGCCACAAAGCTTGCTAACCCATGCAGAAGTATGCAAAGGAATCTTCTATGTCATAACTCATGAGGACACTAGTGACAGGTCAGGGTTGATTGGTCAAGGGCTAAGGCCAAGCAAGTTCTCCAAGGAAGGTTAGGCATCACCAGCAGGTCACTAGTAATGAAAAACTTTCTTTGCTGTTTATTATGGCAGTGAAACCATATTTGGCTCTGCTACCAATTCTGCCATTATTTAATCAGAGCCATCAAAGAGGCTACCAGACACATCTATTCTTTTAACAGGTGCCTTCTCCAAAATACTTAATAATAATGGAAAATGCAATAGTATTTCTATGGGTCATATTAACCTCTCACTTTTTCATAAGTTGGTTTTGGAGCTTGGGCATATTGGCTATGGGATGATGCAGGATATTTTTAAGGATTTGTCCCAAAATTTCTATAGTATTACATAAAATATAAGAAAGGGTTAGAGAGGTATGAAAGAAAGGCGGTAATTAAAATAGAAGAGAGAGAGGTGAGCAAGAGAATGGGTGAGGGTGAGAATGAGTGTGCATGAGACTAAAGACCTGGTATATTTTAAACCTGAAAACAACATTGTTTTTAAATCCATCCTCTTGCCTTCTTTACCACCCTCCTTTAATTGAGCTTCTGCTCCTATGCCAGTATCAATCGTTAAACTGCAAATGTGACTGTATTGGTCCTTTGCTTAAAACATTTTAGGGAATGAAGTCTCTCCATGATCTGATTCCAAACTTCTGCTTTAGCCTCACCATCTGCCACCCTTAACCTTTTGTTTAGACAATTTTGATTTCTTTTGAGTTTCTGAAGAACACTAGGCTATGTCATTCATCTATGCCTCTGTGGTTTTTATTCCTTCTGCCTGCCACGTGTGATTCTCTTCTGCGCTGGGCAATTATTCTGCAACACCTGCTCTGTGATCTCTTCCCTGACCATGCATTCAGTGAGAGTTAATAACTTGTTCTCCCATGAAACATTGTATATAGTATTTTCATTATAATAAGCAATTGTTACATGGTTATTATGGTTTTGCTTTGTTTTCTCACTGGTCTGTGAACTCCTTGTGGGCTTGGTCAATGTCTTTTTGTCATTCTGTCATATGTATCTAACACTGTGCCTGGTACAGTGTAGGCTCTTAGAGAATATTGTTTGATCTAAATCAAACAGCTTATATAACAAGAAGTCACCAAACAGTCTTTCACTTTGTAGATTCTTATGTCAAATACACTGCTGTGTTGTCACTATTATGGCATATATGTATCTGCTCTAGGGGAGAAAAAAGATTTTTAGGCATATCAAGCTAGATCAAGCAATCATCTCTTTTTTTCATTTGAATAAGGATACCCCAAAGGAAAATGTAATAAACAGAATACTTTTACATCAATCTTTTATATTTAGGGGAGAAGAGGATTTGTAATTGTTTTTCATGAGCTAGTTAGAAAAACTAAGCCCCTGTGCAATGTTGTACTTCTGAAAATAATATCCAAAGGAACAGCAATTCTAGACTAAATACTAAATCCAAATGTGGCTAGATTCCATCTTCATTTTGGAAACAGCCACAGCTGTGGCCAGCCCAGCAGATGATGGAATGCAGTTGAGGGTTTGATATGGGGGAAAGCAAAGGTTTTCTGCCCAAAGGCAGTTGGTGCATAGACCCTGCCCTTCCCTGCCCCTGCCTCCTGTTCCTGACGCCCCATCACTACCCAGGAAATATATTGGTAATCTTGCCAAGATCTAGCACTTGGATTCTATACTGTTGGGAATATCATGGTAAAGGGCCTCAAAATAAAATCCAAGATGACAATATTATATTGTATGTCTCAAATTCTCACCAAGTGTGGACAAATATCGAGTTAAGCCACAGAAAATGCTTAAAAAATTTCTACAAATTGTATTTTGCAATTTATCCGAGGCAAAAGAAACATAATAGTTCCAATGTAATGAAGCCTTTCCTTTTCCAAAAATATTAAAGTATAAAATCATATGCCTGCTGGAAATGACACACTAGTCGTAACCAGCAAATTATCGAGAAGATAATTTCCAGTCCTTTCTTCTGTATCTGCCCCTGTACTCTACCCACTTTACTCCCATTCTTTATTAAGTCATCGGGAAGCACATTTGACAAAAAATGAGTGTCTGATCTTTAAGAGCTATTAGTGTTTCCATGGATGTAGCATATCTATCCTGTTAAAGGACTACTAGGAAAACTAATTATGGCTGTGGAAGTCAGGACAGTGGTAACCGTTAAGTGGAAGGATTGGAAGGAGGCACAAGGGGGGTTTCTGGGGTGCTGCTTATGCTCTGTTTCTTGATCTGGGTGCTGGTTACATGTATGTGTTCAAGTTGTGGAAAAAATTGAGCTATAACCTTATTATTTATACACTTTTCTATATGTATGATTCATACATATAAAAATAATATATTCAATAAAATAATAATAATGATTATGATAATCAAAGTATCAGCCTTGTTTGGTTCAAAATATGAGTTTATGTCTTCAGCTAGATATCAGTTTATAGTCTTCACAGACTATAAAGACCAGTAAGTCTACGTCTAGACTCTCAAGTCAATACAGGTATGTGGAATGTACCTTTTAGTAAGAGGTCGTTTGTTTACTTTGGGAACAGGAGGCCCAGAAACCAGCTGAAGAGGCCTGTTTCTCGGTCAGTAGAAAGGCTTGAAAGGTTCTTTCCAGCTCTTGTTGCCCACTGTCCAGTTCTTCTTCAGTCATCTTCATGTTGTTACTGAACAACCCTTTGGGAAAGACAGAGCAGATATAATCAACCTAACTTTTAAAAAGAGGAGACTGAGGCACATAGTTTATTTTAACTTTTATTTTAAGTTCAGGGGTACAAATGCAGGTTTGTTACATAGGTAAACTTGTGTTTACCTATGTGTTAACATAGGCTATGGGGGTGTGATGTACAGATTATTTCATCACCCAGGTATTAAGCCTAGATCCAATTAGTTATTTTTTCTGATCCTTTCCCTCCTCCTACCCTCCCCCACTGATAGGCCCCAGTGTATGTTGTTCCCCTTATGTGTCTATGTGTTCTCATCATTTAGCGCCCACTTGTAAGTGAGAACAGACATTATTTGGTTTTCTGTTCCTGCATTAGTTTGTGAAGGATAATAGCCTCCCCAGCTCCTTCCATGTCCCTGCAAAGGACATGATCTCATTCTTTTTTATGGCTGTGTAATATTCCATGCTATATATATACCATATTTTCTTTATCCAGTCTATCGTTGATGGGCATTTAGGTTGCTATTGTAAATGGTGCTGCAATGAACATACATATGCATGTGTCTTGATGGTAGAATGATTTATATTCCTTTGGGTATACACCCAGTAATGGGATTGCTGGGTCAAATGGTAGTTCTGCTTTAGGTCTTTGAGGAATTGCCACACTGTCTTCCACAATGGCTGAAGTAATTTGTACTCCCACCAACAGTGTATAAGTGTTCCTCTTTCCCCGCAAACTTGAGGCATGTAATTATTAATAATCTGTTCAAACTAATAAAGTCGGTGGTGATGCTAGGATTAGGACTCAGATCCACTGGTTCCTGATGTAGAATTTCTACTTTATACAAGTCAGTGCAATGCATCCAAGTCAACAATCACTGTGTCCAGTTCCCTCTTTTTGACATTAAATCAAGAAAATACTATGATTATTGACATAGCATTTGGACTTTATTGACCTTGATCAAAGCCTTCATGCTTACCCTCTTTTCCCTGACTAATCCTACCTAACCTCCTACCAAGGAAACAATATCCATCCCTCTCCTGTGTTCTCCTGCAGGCAGAAAACCATTATATTTCTCAGCTTTCCTCAAGTAGAAGACAAAATTAGCAGGTCTGTGAGAGGAATTTTTGGTGAAAGAGGATGGTGGAGTTTTCTGGGGTACCCCCACTATGAGAATCCAGCAGTGGCTTCCCAAAGGGAGGCTATAGGGTGGGAGGATCTGTGGGAGCAGTCTGCTATGGGTACAGGCAATTAGAGGGTGTATTTTCTGTAGGGAATTTGAAAACAGTAATAAAGCCAAGTAAAAGTTATTGGTCAGCTTTTTATTATCACCATGTGCCTAAAAATCCTGAGCAGCCCTTCCTGCAGATATTCCTACAGACTGGACCTGAGAGTAGTAGTGAGTAGTACAACTGACCATTTCCCTTCCTCCACCCTTTTGCCTCATTTTGACATTAAAACTCTTGTAATTGTAGGACATGACATTGCCAACACACTGAGAGGTGTGAACTGTTTGTCTCTAGGGCCAGAGGGATAAGGCATTTGTTTGAGGAAGGTGTTATAAGTAGATATTCCAGCTGGTTCTAGGTCTGCATCTTTCTCATGAACACATTTCCAACATCTATTCATAGAACTGGAGCCCACAGACCTTGAGCAGATAATTGAGAACACACAGACTTCAGATGCAGAGTTTGGCTCAGAGGCCTTCGTGGAGGTGGCACTTTCACTTGGCTCACCTTTCAAGACTACAGTCTTTCCAAGGTGCTACCCACCTACCTTGGTTAGTTGAATAACTTCACCTTTTCTCCTCTGATATTGATCCTCTGTGACTTTAACTAAACTTTAGTTTTGGAAGTGCTTTCTTTTAAAAGGAAGAGAATTTTGTTATTCTTAACTTTTCTTTCCTAATAGCTTCATACTCCTTGAACCCAGCCCAGAACACGATAGCTGATTACAAAGATATTTTCTGCAGGGAGACTCATCTGGATTTACCTACACCAAGCTGAAATGCCTGATTACCATCCAAAAGGGAAGAAAAAAAAATGTGTCCTATAGTATCAAAAATGCCAGAATGGAGATATAAAATAGCATATAGTCAGTGAGAGCATGTTTTATATCTATGACAGAATATTCTGATATTAGAAGCTCAGACTAAAATCAAACAAAATGAAACAATAGTTTGTCCAGCACTCAGCTTTGTAAAAATGCCAGACTGTAAACACATGTAATTTATTTTTCAGGATGACACAACAGCTAAAACAATTTAGTCCACAAAAGATTCCACAAACAATGCATCAACAATCTCCCAAAATATACATATTTACTTTTAATTCCTCAGTTGAGGCCATGGAAATGAAAATGGAGGTGAGTGAGAAAGTTATTGTGGACCCTGATAATCACTGAACTATTGATAATGGGGATAAAATAAACATTTGGGGGACTTTACTGGCTACTCACTATTATACCCATTTATGTTAGAGGTTGAATTCTTAGGGAATGATTTATGAAAAAATAAAGGGATTCTACTTGAACTTCTTGAGACATACAAACCCTAAGAGAGGCTTAGTATTTAAAAGAAAACCTATAGAAAAATTTGCACTTGGATAATCCTGTAGTACCCCAATTAATTAGAAGAAATATGTTCCAGGGAAGCATTTCATTTCTGGAATCTTGCAACACTTCCCCTAAGATAATGAACAGGATTTACTGTGGCTACCAAGTCATCAGTGACCCTGAAGATTGGTTCCATTCAATCTCTGTGGTTCAAAAAAACCACACCCAGCTTACCATTTTGATGGTTTTTGTTGTTTCTTTTTGACATACCATGTGACTTTATTCTAAGGAGGTCAAGAACAGACAAAAATATAGGAAAAATTTAAACCGTGGTTGCCTCAGAAAGTAGAGGTCAGGGTTGATTACCAAGGGGCATAAGGGTACTTTTGTTTTATATCTTCATTGGAGGAGCTGGTTATACAGGCATACACTGTCAAAACATTTAACTGTTTACGTGACATCTGTGTATTACATTATATGTAAATTTTATCCGAAAATATGAGCTACATATGACTGTGCTCAGAATTAATGGAAAAGTGTAGACCTTCCTAAACTTCTTTGGCCATTCCTCTCAACCCCTGGGGGTGATGCTCTAAAGCCAGCAAGGTTTCTCCATATCCAGACAGAGAATGTGAATCCCAGCACATAACAAGACAAGAAGTGGAGGCTAGGCTGGGACTGAGTATGACGTGAGGCAGTGTCAGTCATACTAAGAAGACAACCTGGGACAGGGATGTAGGCTGCAGGCAGAGATGCCCCTTAGGACCAAAACTGCATCGGGTAAGTGCCCACCAGGAGCTAACTTCTGAAAATGGGCATCTAACCTTATTAAGAAAGGTTGGTTGGTTTGACTGTTGAAGGCCTCTAGCTAGCTCTTGTACATGGCTGAATTATCTGATGGAACCAGGGGGAGCTTAATGTTTCTGAGAAGCTTCACAGTATGGTGCTTCTCTTCCCCAGCCCCACTCTACCCCATTCTGGGTAAGCATAGCTGGTCTGTTTACTCACTAATTGGTCTATAATTGTCAATGCTTCTTCACAGGGGGCAAAGGACTTGACAACTTACAGGGAGTTTAAAATATTCACTAGTAGACCATCAAAGGCAATTGAGAAAAAATCCTAGAATGTTAAATGCCATAAGACATTTCTCTCACTTTTCCTTTTAGTCTACACAAAGAAATAAAGATACCAAGAAATGGTTAAAATAAAGATAAAAAGGCATATAAAGATATAAAGATTAAAAGGCATTTTTCTTAGTTTTTAAAAAAATACAGACATAGACTAGTTTTTACTTTGTAGATTTTAAAATAAAATAAAGTGCAAATGCAAAGGCCATATTTATATGGAGATCTCACAAATAAGCATTATTTGTCTTGTGGCTCAAATGACTACTAATAAAGCTACAAATAGCGTTTACTAGGGGGAAAATAGTGATCTTCAACTGTTTACCACTTAGTCAACAAATATTTGTTAAACAAGGAACTTCTCACTAAAGAAGATTCACAAGGTAAAAAACGAGGAGCACATTGTAAGACTGAATTACTCAGAGAAAAAAAGGGAAAGTATGAACACACACAAACATGAGAGAAAACACCTGCTTGTCTATGAACATTTGACTTAATACAGTTCCCAGAAATGTTACAATGAAATAGCTGTTAACAAAAAAATCAGATTCAATTAAATGACATTACAGTTTCAAAGGTCAAGAGGTAAAAATGCCTTTCTTCTCTTTTTACTTCTGAGATTTCTCTTTTTCCAGAATTCCCTGGTGATGAAATCAACAGATGGAATTATTTCTTTTTAAGCTTAAAGAAAGGTCACCAATAGCTTTTAACAGATTACAAATGATTTGACACATGATTTCAAAAGTGGGGAAAATTCTATGGAGGCAGGAACACTTCAAGAATTGCTGAAAAAAGATTTCATAACAGCGCAGACCAAAATTAACATGGCTAAAGTGGTTCTGTTTTAATGAACTAGATGCAAACCATCTCATAGTCCTCTGAATCAATTGTGACTGTTGTATTAGACAATTTTGAAAATTCTTTAATATTTAAATTTGATGTTATTGCTTAATAGTGAAAGGTCTTTTGTTACCTTAAGGTAAAACCTCCACTTTCATACCCAGGCCCAGTCTGTGGTGTAATTACAAAGGCATTTGCCTGTCCAACATTATTTTCATTAGACTCAACCAAAACAATATTCCCATTCTATGCTCCCTACCTGTGATAGAGACCATTTTTGTTGCTGTGAATGTCAGGACTTTCCTTCATAAAGATGGAGTGATCCTTAGAAATGACTGGTCCCCAATTTTCCTGAAAAGTTTCTTATGTTGGGAGAAGCTCTAGGATATCAAAGCTGTACTTAGAAAAGGGAGGTCAGAAGTTAAAAAAGAAGGTATTTTATTGCTTAAAGGAGAGAAACTTTGAGACCCCTTTAACCTTGCTATGTGA